GGCTTAGTCTGTGTGCTGCGAGCGGGCTTGTCTGTCGCGTGGGAAACTGTAGGTACCGTGAGGGCATTGGGTGTCCTTACGGTTCTTACTATTCGTTCTTTTTCCAAGTGAGGCGTGAAGGAAGGAAGGAAGATCTCTGCCCAAGCAGCCACTATTGCGAGGTACTTCAGATTTAGGCAAGTCTGCTTCAATCTTGGCCCCTCGAATCCTGTCTCTGGACCTCCCCTGCAGGCAAATACAAGAGAAATCGCTGCTGATGCCGCTCAGTAAAACAGCTGCTTACGATGCCGTTTCTCTGTCGAAGGGCTACGCTGGTAAGGGGCCGGGGTGGTGTCTCGGCTGGGGCAGGATATCACCGAGTTCTCTTGGCTGTTGGCAGCTGATGGTTGACGTGAACGGTGCGTTCGGGCCTGGTGGCCGACACAGCCTGAGCGTGAGGGTCCGTTGCCGCAGGATGGCGCCTGGTGGCCAGGCTTTCCGGGCTGCGTTGGACCCCAGCTCGGCGCACAGCAGTGCAGTGCTGTATTCAGCCTTAACAGGCAGCGATATTGCCTTTGAAATTATTGTGATTTTTCGTCTGCCTCTGTCCTGCTGGACTGCCAACCCTCTGCTTCCCCATTGCTGTGCCCCCGGAGAGTGAGACTGGCTCAGAACTCTGACCATCTGTACGTTGCTCCGTTGAGTTACAGCAGGGAAGGAACACGAACCTCTCTGCTCGCTCTGCTCACGCCGACTGTTTCATTGCAATTGCCTGGGACTAACCAGGGTCATACACTCCATACTCTTACCCAGCAGCGTGATTTGCTTGCCATCAGTTCTGATTAGCAGTGATAGGAAACTAAAAGTGTCTAAAAAGTGCGATTGGCATGTCGTGAGACTGGAAATCTTGTATGATTTTGCCACGTTTTAATAGCAACTTCAAACTTCTGACTCCCAAACAAAACTCTTGGCTCTTCTGAAGCGCGGATGCTGCAGCTGGTTGTACTGTTCAGCGTGCTGCTTGGCCCAGCCCTGCGGCGGCACTGCACGTGTCCAGTTGCACTGGTTTGGCAGTGCTGGTGATAGGTGCGTTTCTTTTCAACTCTCCTGTGCTCACCCCATGGCCTTTGCTTGAATCTGTGCAGTGCAGAAGGGAGGTCAAGGGGCAGGGGGAAAAGTGGGGATGATGCATGGTGAGGGCAATAACTGGTTATTGCTGGAAAGAGCAAATTTTGAGTTAGAGACTGGAGCTCAGAGAACCCTCAACCATTACATCACCAAACTCTTGAACTCTCAGTTTACAGAATTGGTCTGTGAGTCTGTGGGCTTGAAACTCCAAAACTCGAACTTTTAACAGTTACACCAGCAGTAGTTGAGAGCAGAAGAGCGTACTGGGGCAGTCGTTACCTGCATGCTCCTCTGGCGTGGAACTGGGAGTTCGTTTCTTAGCTGGCTCAACTTGCCAAGTTCCAAATCCACAGCCACGGTTAGTGCCGACTCCTTTGTTTATGGCTGTGCCTCATAACACACAGAGGATAAGCCGGGGAACAACCAGAAGGTTTTGATGCCGTTAGCGTACATTGATTCAGAAAAGTAGATATGTATTCAGTGCCGAGGTTCCAGAACTGTAAGGAGGGAAGGTGGGGTGCTCTCTGAGACAGCTCCAGGTGCATACGAGAGGAGGAAAGAATGCGTTTATTCTCCCCAGCTTCCATCTGTGATGCTGGCTGTCGTGTCACACGTCTGAAGGCCAGTATCCCATCTGTAACATTAGGATTATTTTAAGCCCTGTGTGAGGAAAGGTTGTGGAACTCGTGCGAGCGTGCGTTGTTCTTTGAATGGAAAGTGCAGACGGTGTTGCTGCGGTGCTTTGCTGGGCGGTTCATTCTGAACCGTTTGTAGAAAAACGCAGAGGATTGCTCTGCGAAAAGTGCAGTATATAGAACAAGAGGATAGGAAGGCTCTGCTGAGTACCCCAGACCTACTCTTGCCTGTTCTCTTAATCCAGCTTGCCTACTGCTGCCCCATTTTCATGGCATGCATTTCCGGCTCGCAGTTTCCTGCCTACTGGCTGAGAATAGAAGCCTTGCTGTTACGCTGTCCTTAAGTCTCTTGTAATGAGTGTTACACAGACGAAAGCAGCTGTGTCCTTTGGCTCTGGTTTTAATACTATGTTAAAGAGCAGATTATACTGACGCTGGACTGCAGCGATGCGGAGGTAGCGCGAACCATGGCCAGTCTGGGGAAGGCTTTAGCAAGGATGACTAAGGACTTATGCTTATGCTTTAGATAACAAATCCACCCATTTGTGCTCCTTCTTTGGAAATGTAGTCAAGCCTAACAAATCAGGACCTTAACGGAGTTGCATTAGGGTCTGTTAATTGGACTAAGCTGGTTAATACCCACATTGGCTTTGTGTGCCCAAGGGTCCAGAACAGAAATGGCCTGCCATTTGTGCTGGCAAAATCTCATAAAATTACAGCCATGAATGTTGAAAAATTCTGATATCCTCACAAACAGAGACTGGATTAAGGTGTTTTGATTATTATGAGGAAGTCAGATGTTTTGATGTATGCGGGCTTCGTTAGCTTGGGTTTTGAGTGACACTAAACGAGCCTAAATCCCAGCAGATGACTTGGATGTGCTAGCAGTTAACAGTGGTCATAGAGAACAAATGAACACTTTGTCCAAGAGGATCATCCCTCCTAACCTGCCCCAACCCCAGAACTCACAGTATGTGCATCCTGGCAGCAGTGCAGCCCTGAGACTCTCACCTCTGTCGAAGATTTTGGCTGAGAACCGCTTGCTACGGCCATTTCCCAGGTGGCTCAAGCCCAAACCCTGTGTGACAAATGCACGCAGTGATACCTTCACAAAGGTACCGCTCACAGCGCTCCCGCTTGGGTAGTGTCACCGAGCTGTTGGCTGTGTTAGCAGTTCTGGCCGAACCCATCAACGTGAACTTGGCAGCCAGACCAAGTGCAGAGTCCAGAGTAAAGCTCAGTCACTAGCACAAGAAGCTGCTGCTCAAGACGCTGTCTCAGGTGTACGAGAGACACTGAGAATGTTAATCTCCGGAGCTTTTTAATTTTTCAGCCTCTGCTAAACTGCTCCTTTCTGAGTGTCGCTAGCGTGTCGCGAGTCATTCGTAGCTGATGGCTCTGTCAGGGGTGACAGGCCACACAGCACAGCAGCAGCTGCAGAGCTGCACGAGAGCTAAGCCACCATGGGATGACCTCCAGTTCATTACGTGGGGGGATTTGTTACACTAATGCTGTTTTATGAAAGCTGAGCATGTCCTTCAGGTAGAGAAACAAGCCCAAAGTCCCTGTGGGCAGTTTATGTCCCCAGTGTTGTCAAGTGTTGCACCGGTCGACTTCCAGAAAGTGGCTGTATCCAGTGGGGGAGGAGTGGTGGTTTCTTGCAGTGCTGGTTGGGCGGTGGATCATATGTATTTGCTTTGATTTGGAAAAGGTGAGTTGTTAAGAGGATAATTCAGGCAGGTGAGGCAAAAAATTTCTGAGCAGGAAGATTCTGCACGTGTCAGCGCTTGGTTAAGTCCCCTGACAGCAAAGTAAGAATCTGAAGAGGGAGAAATGAGTTCCAGATGGTCGTGGTAACTGGCAAGAAACTAATACTGAGGCTGATCTTGAGAAAACAGACTGGAGACTCCAGAGATGAAAGTGGGGGCAGGGTGGTCCAGATAAGCTTGATAACACGTGATACATCATCTCTGGAGCATTCCAAGGCAGGATGGCGAGATGAACCGTTTGCTGCTGAATTGCAGTGCTCTGGTGGTGCAGATGCTCTGCCTGTGGCCGCTCTGCTCTCTGGGCTAAAGGCAAGGGCAGTGCAGAAAACACCCCCCTTCCCTCGCGTGCACAGCAGCCTCTCTCTGCTCTGCCAGGGCGGGGAGATGATGGTGATTACTCCTTGTCGCCTTGCTGGTGTTTCCATCAGAGGCAGCCCAGGCCTGTCTGCACCATTCCTCGCTGTTTCTTGGTTACTCTTGGAATTTGTGTGACATCTTCCCTGCCTTCTATTCTTAGTTGTCAGTGGAAGGGTGAGGCAACGTACGTAATTCTCATTACAGTTAATTTAATCCAATTGTGATGTGGATTTAGAGGTACTTAGTAGGTCACAACTGAGCGTGGGCTCTGTCTTTTTCCAGTTACTTTCATAAAACAATGGACACTGATAATTCCTTTCCACTTCCAAAACTAAACACATGCATCTAAAGGTGGTGATGGGGTTTGGTGCTCGTGTTACGCAGACACGTCTCCTGTTGGTCTCCATAACTGTTCCTTAATGGGGAAAAGAGGGTTCATGTACGTTTTGTGGGTTCGTATGTCTTGTGGGTTCACACATCTCATGGTGTATCTGTGGAGACTAACGTGGACTAACTCTGCTCTTTTGGGTTTAACCGTGTGCTTTTCGTCTTTTGTCTTTTTTTCTCTTTCAACAAAGCAGCCTCTGTCAGAAAATTGTGATTGATCCTCGTCTGGAGTTTGTCTGTAAATCTGAGCTGAGGCAGAAGCGTGCATCCTCCAAATAACCCCGGCCACCTCGGTCCCAGCCAGTTCTGAGCTGCCGTCACCGCTATGGAGGAGACGCCAGGTTTGTTTTCTCCATTGTATAGAGGGTGGTCATAAACCAGAAAGCAAAAACCCCACACAGGGTCCTTTTCCCTTTTTGCCTGCGGGTGCCTTACTGCCTTGGACAGCCCAGGCGTTGGCCTGTAAGCCCTCCAGCTGCTGCGCCTGCAAATCCAGCTGGCTTTGCCCTGAGCAGTTCGGTCCGTGCGATCCAGGCAGCGTTTTCCCTGTGTTCCAGGAGCACTGAGAGTGGCCGGGGACTCTGTCCACCGGCTCAGTGCTAGTCCCCAATTCGCAGAGCATGGAGCCAGCGCCTGTAGTAGGGAAAACTCGCCAAAGTCCGTGATGTGGGCAGCGCTGGTGTTTCCTAGCTTCCAGCTACTGTTTCTCCCCTGAGGTTTTAGAACCGCCACTCTTAGACTTGTCATGGAATTAAAGAAAACTACATCCAGGGCCTACAATGCTGCTCTCCTGCTGCCACTTTTCCTCTTATTTTGGGGTAAGTTTTTGTCTTCTGTGCCTGATTCTTACCCAGCTACTGTGCAGTAACTTTGGATCAGATCTGTGATCTGCCCTTGTATTGCAAAGGTAACTGAGCAAAATGTCACTCTCACGGTTAGATTTGAAGTCTGAAACTTCTTGCCTGGAAGATAAAGAGGTGTTTCATTCTAGATGTGTTCTTCCTTCTATTAGTTCTTGTCTCCTTTTGCCTTTCTCCCTGCGCACATGTGTGTATGCATTTATTCACAAGAGCTAAATACTTTCATGTAATCAAGTACTCGGCTATTCTGGTAACTGTTTCCTCCATTGAAAAGTTCAAAATGTTACAGTTGTGCCCATACAGATGACAAAGCACAGGGCTTTATTTCCTTTCTGTATGGCTTAGAAATACATTTAGGCAAAAGAGGAGGAGTGCACCTAGGGGAGTGCACTAATACACTGAAGTGCCAGATACCTCTGTTACAGAATGTGGAGTAAGACGACATTACATGAGTATTCTCACTTAGAAATTCTGAGGAAAGCTGTTCCGTCCTGAAAGTGCAAGACGTGATGAAGTAACAAAAGAGTCTGTCCCACTGATGGAGGTTCTTGTTTTCATTTTACATTGAAATCTTATTTTATAGCCAAATAATATACTTGACTATCCTGAGGTTCTTCAAGTTCCCATGAACATGTCTTTGGGCTCTAAAAGTCACCCTTGTACGCAAGTTTCTTATGCTCCCTGAAAAACAGATTTCTCTGTTTCTTCTGGAATGGGTATCTGGAGATCTGCTGGGCCTAGACATCTGTTTTAGTCATCTAGCGATTATAAGGTCACGTCAGGAACATGTCCAACCTTTTACTGGAAGGTATGATTGGGATTGAACTGGCCTCTTTATCCTCTCCTCGGCACTGCCAGGCCAGTATCTGCATGTAAAAGTCTTGTTTGGTTCCCACTGAGGACAGGAATGATCAATGACACAAAGAAGTGGAGGTAAAACATGGAGGACATGCAGAAAATACAGTCAAAGTGCCTTTTCTCTGCCAGTGTCTGGGGAACGCTGCATTTGGCATTTTCTCACGTTAGTGGGTGACGTTTATGTATTTTCTGAGAGTTGGAGAAAGTTTTCAGCTTTTCCTTTGATTCCCCAAAAGTCTTTTTTTCCCCCTCCAAACCCTCCCTAAATTCCCTTTGCTCTCATCACCTCAACTATGAATACGAAACTCAGAATAGCTTTTGATTTTGGTCTGAATTTTTTTTTCTCTCTTCCTTGTACCAGCTTCTTTGTCTGGTGCATTCGCTCCAAGTGCCTGGAATTCCTCTGGCCACAGGGAAGCGGCAGGACTGTCTTTTGTATCTAGTAACCATAGCTACTGGTTTGGAGTGTGAAGCAATTACGGCGCTTTGTGTTGTGCAGGAGGAAGGCCCAGTGCGTGTTCGGTGTTGCTCAGTATGTGGCTGCCAGGGAGCTGGCGTGTCAGGGGGGTTTGTGCTGTTTGACTGTCGCACCGACAGCTTTTCACTCCTGGGTAAAGCTCCTCTCTGGAACAGTGATTTACTGAGGGCATTGTTTTCTTTTGGAGTGCAGGTGGATGCCACATCGTGACATAGCCAGGAAATCGCAAGGGAAGCAGTAATTCCCATAGTCTTTCCACCTGCTCCTATTTGCAAAGGGAGTTCTGCCAGGTTTTAACTGCTGGAGGTTATGTAGCACTTGCAGAATTTTAAGGCCATAAGGAAATACCTTTTCTTGCCCTTGTATTGACTGAGTCTAAATGTCATCGCAGCACAGAGTGGCTATGTTACTTGGTCAACATTTTTGCGAAAATTCTGATAATCCAGACAGCCTGTTGCAAGCTGTAGCCATCCTGCAGCCAGAGCCACGCTATCTCCAGTCCTTCCAAATGAACTCCAGAGGGACGGTGGGACAGAGTCTGCATGTGACTCCACTGCTGTTGTCTGTGTAATGGGCAGAATAGCTCTCTGCTTAATTTCTTGTCTTCTAAAGGAGATTCTGGAGGGCAGAGCTGAGTGTCTACTCCCTTCTGCTCCCACAGCTCCGGCCAGCAATGAGCACAGTCACTCACATACCTTTCTCCTGCAGAATGCTTTGGACGCCTGTTGAGAGAAAACGTGCAGACAAACCTTTTTTCTGGCAGTTTGCTATCTGCTCTAATGCAGGCTCTGAGATTAGCTGGGACGTAGGGCGGTGTAAATCTCACTTCAAAACATGGAAGCAAAGTACACTCTTTTCAGCTGTTTTGTTGTTTGTTAGGATATTTAAATAAGAATTGGAAATTAAAGCTTGTGACTCAATCTGATTAACTGAATACACAGGAAACCCCCTGTCTCTGATCTCTGGAAATGGCTGAGAGATCAGAGAACTGTGTAAACCATGAAGGTCAGCTTGGAGGAGTGTTTACCAAGGGAAAATACTGGAGTGTCATAAGCACAGAAGATCAAAGACTTACTGTGGCAATATATATGCAATACTATCATAAAACATGGATTTATAGCCTCTGTCTTTCTCCAGGTTCTAGAAGTGTGATAATAGGAGTTACATCTTCAGACCTGCATTAAAACAGTGAACAGATAATGTAAACAAGCTAGCTGGCTACTTGTTCTGTGCTAAGAGGAAGTGTAATTCCCTGAAGTGGTATTCCTGATTAATGCTGTTAATGCCTCTGTCCATAATATTGGCACTGCTCAGCCCTATGGATTGCTGCCCACCATTAGGCACCATTCAGCAATTCACTGGGCAAGCTGGGTGGGAGAGGGACTGGAATCAGCGTTCTGCTTCTTTGAGGGGATAAATATTCTGCATGTTTCCCAAGAGGAAACTGAGCCACATCTTCTTACGCCTGTCTGAGTGAAAGTCTAATGGTCTAGGCCTTCATAAGGCTGTATAAATGTGTTGTACTAGCAGGCTGTGTACATCTCTGGCATAAAAAAGCTCTCTCACATCAAAACCTCGATGCAGATGGGGTCTGGAACTTGTTGGCCTCCAGTAACAAAGAAAACCAATGGAAGAAGTTGGCTGGGGAGCGATGAATGTCCAATATCCATCTAAAACTTTGGATGGGAAAAACTGCAGTCTGAACTGTGTGCACGGGCTTCACTAGGGCTGTTTAAATTAGTGTCCAAGTGGCAGTTGGCTAAGAGAGTGGCCTGGTGTGTTAACCTACCAAAACTCTACAAGGCGTATCAAAGCCGTGAGTAGTATGGCTCTTGTTAAAATGACTCTTCTAGAAGATGCTGTAGGCATTGCCATTTATTCAGTATTGGCTTAGAGGGACCACCTGCTGATCGCCACTGTTGCTTTTTGATTGTCTAATCTTTATTTTGGATACTTTTGGTCAGTGTCATGTCTTGCTTCACAGATATTGTCACGGCTGTTAACCTGAGATGATAATGGTGACACTTAGATTCAGCCAGCTGTAGTATCTCAGCCTCTGTTCTCCCTGAAATGTTATTTCTCCCTTCTGTCCTATTCGTGCAACAATAAAAAAAATTGATAGTTGCTGTGGAAAAATGGAGAGGAAGAACTTCACTCTGGGCACCAGAATCTTAAGGGGGATTGAATATACCTGATCCTCATGGTGACATCACCCGAGCATGGAAATTCAAACAAAAGCTGATGGGAAGTGGTTGGGGGAGAGGGAGCAGCTGGTAGGTGGGAGCAAGCTACTTCAACAGAGCTTCTCCTGATGGCTGGCAGGGGTGGTGAGCGGCTGCAGCTCGGGGGCTTAGTAGTTGTGATCAAACAGTGGTATTTTGGAAAGCTTCCCATGCCCACGGTTCTCTGATGCTGAATAGAAAGGCCCACTGTGAAAGCAGCTGTCAAAAGGCGCCTGTTACCATGTCAAACAGGACCAAGGAATACAGGTTATGGAATATTTTAGGCTGGGTGAAAAATCAGTGCCAATTATTAGCATTTCATGAGCTTGTCAGTAGCCTCAGAGAATTTCAGGGTCCTGTTTTCTGATGCTGGCATTACTAGGAGCAGGTGCTTTGCCCAGGCCTGGGAAGAAAGGGTTTAATCTCTCTGTGTCAGAAGGAAATGGGGCTTGGAAAGCCCTAGGATGTGTGAAGCCACCTAAAAAGGCCTTGCACATGCCTTGGACACTGAAGGTGCTTCATAAAGAAGAGTTGGATTTTATCCTGCTATTACCTTCCATAGCAAGGTTATCCTTCCAGAGTTGGCAAGGGTGGGGGAGAGAGGGGCTGAACAGCTTGAAAGCCCCTTTTCAGGCCTGCCCGGCTTGCCTGCCTTTTGTGTGGATCCTGGGAACAGGCCGCAGCCTGTACCCTCTCACTAATCCTTTACACTGACCAGGACAGGGAAAGATCAGCAGAGGTCAGCAGGGATTTACTAATATAAGCACATGCCTTCCTGTTGTCATGGAGACATAACTCTTTCCATTCCTTTATTCAGAGTTTATTTAGTAGTTGTGTTACCCTCATACTTGAGGTGGAGGGGTTCCCTCTCTACCCTTGGCCTCGGTATCTGTCTCTAGCGGGAAACAAGCTGGGGCAGTCAGCAGGAGCAGAGCCTGACTGGTGGGAATTGCGTCAGGCCGGGGCTTTGAGCACTCACGGTTTAGGCACTTGAAGATTCCCCCAGGTTCCACAGGAATTCCTCCGTTATTTTGGGGCGGTTGGGGGCTGCTGCTGGGTAGAGGGCTGTTCTCTCCTCCTCCGTGTAAATTGTCTTTTTCCGGTTGTTGTAGTGAGTCGGGCAGGTGAAACCACCCGAAAGACGCCTTGTTCTCCTCAAGCCTCCAGTGATTTTTGTAAAAGATAAGTCATAGGGAGCATGATTTTAAACAGCAAGGGAGTCAGGGACCTCCACAACAAATCCATGCACAAAAGGTACTTAACACATCATTAATGGGTCATCAGTTTGGGAACATAAATACTTGTAAGCAAGAGGCTGTCTTCTGCAAAAGTGTATCCCTAAAGCAAGAGGAGAACGTGCCGGAGTCCTGTCTGTTGCAACTTGTTTAACAGAAAGGGAAGTAGTAGGAGATGCAGCGTGTAACTTTTCTCCTTCATCTGGGAATCCTTCACAGTAGTGGGTCCTTGAGGAGAAGAGTGCCCATTCCCTTACTCTGCTCGGTTCATGGCATGGGGACACGCTGTTGGGCGTACACGTAGCCTGGTTACCTCTTAAAAGCACTGAGCTTCAGTCTGCTATTTCACATCCTCTGTGTTTCTGTCTTTTTGAAATCTGGACTGTGGGTGATGTGAATTGTGCTGACTTTCTGGGAGAGAGAAGCTAAAGGGATGAGAAAAGTTGGACTATGCAGACCAGACTCTCATCCTTTTGTCTCAGAAAGCCAAGCTTCTGATGACCCCAAGATAGGAAAGACCCCGTTCCTTTTATCATTAATGTTGCCGTAATTAGTCTGGGTAAAGGGCCCAATCTGGCACGTTAGATGACTTTAGAGCCTACCTTCTCCTGCTCGGTATTCTCTGCTTCCTGAGATGGTTCAGGCATCTAGGGATGATCAAAGCCACAGCTGGATGTGTCAAATTGGGCAAGTTTTCAGAGTCTGGAACTTGTGGAAATATATTTCATGTTGTCAGTGTGAATCCAGAAATAAAATATACCCTTTCCTTTGACTGTCTTCCCTTTTGCTAGACAGTTGTAATATTTATGTTATGTGCTGAAATAAAACACCTCCGTGTTCCAGACAGGAAAAATCTCACTGTCTAATTCTGTAACACCTCTAACGTGGAGTATTAAAGGTTTCGAACGATTTCATCTTACAGGACACTCGTGAAAATACGTACCTGTACCTGTATTTTAGGTGGGGCAAACTGAAACACGAAGTGGAACTGGCTTGCCTAAGCTCACGTGAAGTTTGTGCCGGGCCAGGAAATAATACCACGGCCTCCTGACTCTTCTGGCCTTTGTGTCTGTGATTCTGAGTGTTTTGCTGAGATGCTGGATGCAGGAGATGGTGAAAAATTGAACGTGTGCTCTGAGTGCAGGGCATGAACAGGTACTGAGATGGGCGTTTTCAGGAGTGCATGGAATTTGTTTGTGGAGATTTGTGTTGTTCCAGTTGAATAACACATGAAGTGTAATTGAAAAAAAAAATCAATTGCCAAAATTGTCCTTCAGTGTGAAGGAAGAAGGGAGTAAACTGCGCTGATAACCCCAATGCCTGCCACTTCCTTGTTGGAATTTTAAGTGCCTATTAAGAGCATGGTAAGGAGTTATCAGTGAAGCAGAGTGAGGGTAGAGAAACTTCAGTGTGCATGGACAAGGTGGCACTTGTGGGGACCTTGGGAATCAACAACTTAAGCTGCTAAAATTCAGACGAGGGAGGTTCATGAAGATGTGGCACTGCGCATCTGCCGTGGGGTCAGGTATCCCCAGCTGACGTCTTTAGCTCTGGTTTTATTTCCATCCCTCAGTCCTAGGGTGCACAATTATTCCTCTCAATTTTGGAATAGGTTATTGTGTGATCCGCAGGCATCCATCCTCTCTCATAGCTTCCCCAGACCTGGGAAAAGCAAACCTGTGCAAAGCAAAACCAAAGAAGAGAAGCCAGTGGGTAGTGCTGAAGCAGCAGCTCACCAGCGGTGAAGTAATAAAACGCCTGAAGGCCCGTGTCCTGTGGACTGTCCTTGCAACTCGCAGCTGGTCTCTCCTAAACCTTCCGCCAGCGGTGCTGACACACAGTCAGGATGGAGAGGGCGGCTGTGAAAGGGCTGACTGCAGTGCAACTCGTGCTATGGGGGAAATTGCCACCGAGCCTGTGTGAGATGACGGAGAACAGGCAAAGCTGAGGGGCTTGGTTTGTTTTTTAAAGAAAAAGACAGAGGCCTGGCTACCGCTCTCCTCCTCCACTCTTTATCAGTTCCTACAGCTCTTTGCCCGTGCAACAGCATCTGGGCCCAGTCTGCCGAAGAGATTCCTCAGGACTCTCTGGGGGAGTCAGTGACCACTGCCAGGAGGATCTCGGGTTGCCCAGCATCCCACTAATTTCTGATTTCCCTTTTTATGGCTAGAAAACTTGCTGTTGCAACTGCCCTTTGACAAGATCGTGTAGTAGAGGTATAAAGCTATTAAAGCCAGTAATTAAAACAAAGCCTGGTCATGCAGCTTGTTTGCCTTCAAGTGATACAGAAGGTCACAAACCTCATCTTTTAGGGAAAATCTTTGTCAGCTACCTTGGAAGTGTAAAACCAGACCTGTCCTGACAGAGCTCAATGAATGCTTTTTATGCAACTCTGTTAGCCTTTGAAGTTCCTCCTAATCCACCCCTAAATGCCTGGAACGGATTCTTCAAAGAAACCCTCGTCCTCTCCAGTTTCATTTCAGAGTTGGGTTACAGATGGTCTAACTCTATGATTCTTGGGAAATGAAAAATCCCGAATGGCATTGTTAATCCAGCAACAACTACTTTGGTGGAAAACTATAAACTCTTGTCATTCAGCGACGACTTTGATCTGATTTTCACCAGTTTGATGTAGCAGCATAGTCTGAATTACCTGTTTTCATGGTTGGTATAGTGTGCAGCAGGAAAAGCTGATTTATTCATTATGCTTATTAGCACTTGGTGCGTATTCATATGCTATTCACATTCATATAATGATCTGTTCCCAAACAGAGAGGAATTACTGTGTGTCCTAGGGCTGAGGGATGAAAAGAAACCCAGACCAAACGTCAGGTGTGTTCTTTGTCAAGGGTCTTGCAGACCCTGTGTTTAACTTCCTGGGGATGTTACAAAGTGTTGTACTCCTCCTCCCTGCTGAAAGCCCCCTTTCTGACATCGCTCTGCGACAAACTCTGCTTCGAGTTAGCGTGTCATCCGAGGTGAAGTATTCAGCCAGAGGTGTAGCACTGCCGTGGGATGAATGTGGGGGCTGTGCTGTAGCTCCGCAGCAGCGTGGTGTGTCCGTGGGAAGTGCTGCTGTACTGGTACAGGCGTCCGGGAGCAGATGGTACAGTCTTGGAGTCAGTGGTGGCGATTCGCCTGTAACCTCGACGGAGTGGGGCCGGCATGTGGGTCATTTCCTGCAAGCTGCCGTTCACAGAATAATTTGTGGTGATTTACATATTGTTTAGTTTCTTGTGACCTAAGTTGCAGTGTTCTCAGCCTGCTCCATGCATGCCTTAGACACAGTGTTGTGTTGCTTCGGGCTATTTGTTCCAAAAAAGGAACGTTTTCCTTCAAAATGAGGTCCTGCTGAAGCCATCACCTTTAGACAGAACTAAAGTACCATGTGGTCACAGAAAGTGTCTGAAATAGTACAGTAACAGTGCAGGACTTGGGCTTTTCTCTAAGCAGTCCTGTGTATAACGAGTTATCCCCACAGATGACGAGTACGCGTGGCTAGTTACCCACTGCTGTTGGTGGTGGTCACACCGAGCTTGGGGGAGGATGGAATTCTCCCTGTTAATGCTGTTCTTTGGTAACCAAGGGAGCCTTTTCAGCTTCCGTGAAGCTTTGTGTTTGCTGGAGTTGGTGTCTCTAGTCCAGCCCTCTTGTGCCGACAAGTTTGTGTGTGGCTGTGGGGCCGTGTGTGTTTTTGTACTGGACAGGCGTCAATGGCTAATACAGGTTGTTGAGCACTGTGGTCTGTGATGAACCGAACCAGAAGGTACAGAAAGGTATGTCGTTGCGAAAGAACTCTGGAAAAGAAGGAAATAGCAAAGGGATTTGATGTTTATCTTTATTGCACGAAGCATTTAGATCAGAAAACTATGCAGGTAGCCTGTGAAATGACTTCAGCCCATCTGCACTGGCAGTGCTTGGTGATTGGGTTGAAATGGGAATTTCTGTGCAGATGGAGTTTGCTGCAAATCGGAGAAGGGCTTCTGACCATGCAGAGAAGCGACTTGGTCACTTTTTTATCACAAAAAAAGTGCTCCTGGCCTATGGAAGGATGGAAATGCAGGCCGGGCCTGGTTACTCATTAAGCTTACAAAGGCCGAATCTCCTGCCTAGTAAAGCTCTTTTGCAAATAGTTTCCTGGGCTTCCACTCTAATTGCTGCAGAGATTCCAGGCAGATTCCGTCATCCTTGTTTTCTGCCTGACTGGGAATCTGAGAATAAAAGGGTTGATGGCAGAATAATGAGATTGCTGGACAGTGCAATGCTCACCCAGTCTCCCCAGCATCACATGAGGGAGGAAGGGAGGGGTGGGTGTAGAGATGATGCTGGGAAGAGAAAGGGTTGTCTAAGTCCCTGAGCACCCTCCCTCCCCCATCCCACTGCCTCTTAAAAGGAGACTTAGAAACACTACAGTCTTTTGGTGGGAGGAATTTGGGGGAGGTCAGGGCAGGGGCAGGCTATTGTAAACCCAAGTCTCCTATAAATCCCTTTTGGGCCCTGAAGCCAGATGCCTCCAGCTTCAGGTACAAAGAGACTGAGGAGCTGGTGGGGCGGGGAGTTGGTAGAAAACCACTGACACAGATTAACTATTGGCTGGGTAGAAGGTGCACCAGAGCAAGGCAAACATGACCAAAAATGGGCTGGGATAATGATGGCATGAATGAGAGAATGTGTAAGGTCAGCTAGGAAGTGATGCTGTCGGTGTGATCCTGGCAAATCCTTAGCATGGAGCTTGGCACGTTCAGCCAACGTGTCTGCCCCAGCAGTAATGTGGTGAGGGCCAAGGGTGGTGAGCAGTGGGTAGTGTCAGAGCTGGCAGGCCTGTGGCTGTTTGAGCCTCCCCGTGCAGCTGGGGAGATTCCCAGACACTGATTCCCGTCACCCAGATACCTACAGAAAGCAGCAAAAAGGGCACGGCCTACCAGTGACAGGGATCATTGAATTTTCCCCAAGGTTCACCTTGGGAATGGATTTAAAGTGATACGTTCCGCTGCTCCTCTCCAAGCTGTATGTGGTGGTTGGCAGAACTTTCTTCCTTAGGGCTACACGTGCTGACTAACAAGTCTCTCTCTCAACAGGAACCTCACACTCTGAGAACGACAGCAGCTGTTCCTCATCCCCCTGTGAAAATGGGGGGAGCTGTGAGGATTTGGAAGTGGGTTACCAGTGCACCTGCCCCGTGGAGCCTGTAGCCTACATGGGCATAAACTGTGAACTCCTGTATGATGCCTGCATTAAACATGCGTGTCCTGCCCATAGGATTTGCAACAGGACTCCAGGACTCCTGGAATACAAATGTATCTGTATGCCTGGCTTCTCAGATAGCGAGTGTAACGTTAACGAGTGCGAGAGCAACCCTTGTGACGGCCCTGGCTTTGCATGTGTGGACGATGTAAATGGGTACACCTGCAGATGCCAAACGGGACTGAACGGAGAAGGCTGCCAAACAGAAAGCTCCGGATGCTCCAGCCACCCCTGCCTAAATAACGGGACGTGCGTGCAGGGCCCTGGGGGTTACACCTGCCTCTGCCAGCCTGGCTTTGCCGGGGCCGACTGCAGGGACAACGTCGATGAGTGCGCCTCGAGCCCCTGCCAGAACGGAGCCATCTGCCGAGACGGGGTGAACGAGTACAGCTGCTTCTGCGTGCCCGGCTTCCAGGGGTACAACTGCGAGATCGATATCAACGAGTGTGCCTCCCGGCCCTGCAAAAACAACGGCACCTGCCTCAACGAGATGGATCACTACGTCTGCACCTGCGTTCCCGGCTACACAGGTACCTTTGGTGCTCACGTACGGGCTGGGGGGTTGTGTCCGTGGAGTTCCACAATTGCCTGCTGCTGCCGGGTGTTGTAGCTCTCCTGAGAAGCTGTTGTTTTACAGCCGTGAGACCCATCTTCGTTGCATGACATGTATTTCTGGTTGGTACTGTGTGTGAGTAGGTTTAGGGCCTGTTGTCCTGGCTTCCGGGCAGCAGCCGAGGCTCTGATCTGCGCGGGTGGTGTTTAACAGACGTGTGGATGTGGCGCCTGGGGATGTGGTTTAGTGGCAGCCTCAGCAGTGCTGGGTCAACGGGTGGTCCTGATCATATTAAACATCTTTTCCAACCTAAGTGTCTTCAGCCTGGAGAAAGGAGGGTTCCAGGGAGACCTTATTGCCCCTTCCAGTGCCTGAAGGGGCTACAAGGAAGCTGGGGGGGGCTTTTTACAAGGGTCTGTAGTGACAGGACAAGGGGAAACAGGTTTAAATTGAAAGTGGGGAGGTTTAGATTGGACATCAGGAAGAAGTTCTTCCCAGAGAGGGTGGGGAGGCACTGGGACAGGTTCCCAGAGAAGCTGTGGATGCCCCATCCTTGGAAGTGTCGAAGGCCAGGCTGGATGAGGCTTGGAGCAACCTGGGCTAGGGAAGGTGTCCCTGCCCATGGCAGGGGGGTTGGAACTAGATGGTCTTTAAGGTCCTTTCCAACCCAAACCAGTCTGTGATTCTGTGTTGAAGAGCCATGGATATAAGAGTGAAAGTGTGGCGACTGTCTGAGACTTGGAGTACTAGATGGAAAGTAGGTGTGATTAGCTCTCAGTGTGAAATTAAAGGAGATATACAAGAAAAGAGATTTATTATCAGGAAATGTAGTAATAACTTATCTCTGCCTGTGTGGCCTGTAGTTCTTTGTCCTGGCCTGCAGGACTTCTCTAAGGGAAGTAGTCTTTTTGGAATAAAGCGGCTTTTAGTTGGAGATTTCTTTTCCAGTTCTTCCTTAAGTACCTCTATTCTGTGCATCTGTGCTGATGGTGACTCAGAGCGTAATCTACACCTGCGAGTTATCTGTGAGGGAGGCAGCGGGCAGGGGGGGGTCTCCTCTCCCCAGCTCTGCTTATCGGTGTGGAATGCAGTTGCCCTGCGCCCACGCCTGCCTGGTACCACCTAGCACATGAACTTTCTCAGCCTTCCTCCTGGTCGCAGACTGAAGTGTTTGAAGAGCTGGGTTGCTGCGAAGGAATGCTGCTGATTGCCAGAGGAATGGGGAGAAGTTACAACATCAGGAATGCAGGCCTGATGCTGACTCACTGATAAAAATGAGCAGGGATGAAGGAAGAAAGCACAATTTCTGTGTCAGCCTTAAGATTTCTGCTGAATTTGAGTATCAAGGGTAATTCTGTCTTCGCAAATTCTGTCTTTTTTTATCTTTGTGCTGAATCCTTAATTCAGAACTGTGGGATTCCCCTGCCAAGGAAGTGACACAGTCACCCAGGCAGCTGGAGGAGCTGCTTGTGCTCCGAGTTATTTTGATGTCAGATATGAAGCTTTGCCTTACGACCCGGGGCTTCAGCCAGAGGTTCTCGCACCCTGGGCTGGCAAGGCCAGGCTGTTCCCTGGTGCGCGCAGCTGGAATTTGGGTGAAGGAAGTGTTGCGTGGGTATTGACTGGTTTGAACCAGCAGATTAGGGGGCCCACATTCCGTCAGGATTAGGATGGCCATGTCCACTATGTGGTCAGCCCTTGCCAGGAAGGGGAGATTAGATGGATTGGCAGGTGCCACTGTAATGACTGAGGTTTGGAGGTGATGCCAGGCCATGGACGACTCAAAGAGGTGGAGTGGGAGGGTGGTTGCATAGAAGGTGTGCAGGAGGCCTTATTCTGCCAGAGAAATTTGAGACTTTGGACCAAAAACGCATGACTTGTCATTATCCTTGACTAGTAGTATTGAAGCTAACACCTCATTTTTAATTGCAGTTCATAATAAAATCACTTACTAATATCTAGTATGACTGTAATTAGCGTTTTGCACTGCTTTAATGCTTTTTTCTCCGAAGTATCTCATAGCAAGTTACAAACCTTATTTAAAGAAATGCAACAATGTTTTGGAGAAGCAGGTAGAGACTGCTTTTCCCATCCCCCAAATGCAGCTGCCTCTGGCGTAGAACACTGGATCTCCCTAATAGCAGTGCAACACCAGTGGAGAGCGCCCTGTCTAACTGAAACTGGAAGAGCTGTGTTGTACATAAAAGCTGAAATAACACTGACTAGCAGTGTGATTCTTCTCTTCCCATCCCCGTCCTCCCTGCCCTCAAAGGATCCCAAACCAGAACAGTATTGTGACATTTTTAAGGTCAAGGTTTTACAGCTTACCGAGAAAACGGGATTTGTGAAGTGCTGAGTGATGGCTGCTCCAGCCAACCTGAATGAGAGACCACAGCTTCGCAAATAGTGGGATTTATTTTGTGATAGAAGGCTAAAATCCAAAAGCCTAGGTGAAGTAATTTTGTTTGCAAGTAAAACTTAAAGGTCCTTAATTTGTAAGAATCATACGCTGTTCACGAGCTCCTAGAAGTCTTATGGCAAAATGAGAACAGATCACTCTGCTAGCCAGTTTGGGTTGATAACATCACTTGTGATTCCAGCTCAGAGGTGCAGGCAGCACAGCTGGTAACGCAGCCCTTGCTCTGTTTTCTAACGAAGGTGTGAACTGTGATGCTGAAATAGATGAATGTGATTCAGACCCTTGCCAGAACGGGGCCTCGTGCAACGATCGCGTTGGGTTCTACACCTGCACGTGTGCGCCGGGTTACCAGGGGCTCCAGTGTGAGGTGGACGTGGATGAATGTGTCAGCCAGCCGTGCCAGCACAACGGGACGTGCCGTGACCTCGTCAACAGGTGAGGCATCTCTGTGGGTCGGGTGGTTAGATGCCAGGGCTCATCTGAAGGTCTGCTTAGTGCAACCGGTAAAAATTAGAGGAGAAATCAGGGGGAAGATTGGTGTTAATGTTTTGTAAGTCCCAGGGGCAGTAACTGAGAATGATTTATGGCAGTAAGCAAGAAGGGCCCTCCCAGCAGCAGAACTCCTGAGGTGCTTAGAGGAAGGTAGGAAAAGATTCCCGTTGTTGCTTCCAGCTGATGTATTGGGTACCAAGGGAAGTGATGTGCAAAGCTTGACCAGCAAAGGGAACCGCTGAGAACATACCTGTGTCTGAACTGACCCTTTCACAGGTAAAGTGTGAACTCGGGCTGCTGAGGGTTGTCTGCTGTGTCCTTAGCGTGGCCTGGTCGTGCAGATGGAACTGTCTTTTTCCTCTGCCCCCTGGGCGGGTATGAGGACTGACAGCTGAGCTCCATTTGCTCTTTCCTCATACTGGGCTTTGCAGTCAGGTTAAGATCTTGCGTGCTGCTGTTTTGCTGCCCCACAGCTACCGTTGTGACTGCAGTGACACCGGCTTCGAGGGGGACCACTGTGAGTTGGATATCCTGGAGTGTGCCTCCGAACCCTGCCTGAACAGTGCCACGTGCGTGGAGGGAATCAAGAACTACAGTTGTGCCTGCTGGCCAGGTGAGTTAGAAATCTGTTTGCTGTGCAGGCGTGTAGGCACACTGCAACGGTGAGCGTTGCTAATTTGCCCTGTGGAAGAAATAAAGAATTAATGATCATACTGCAAGGTCCAGTGTAATTTTTTTTCATTGTCTGAAACAGTGAGGCTGCCACTGCTGCCCTTTACAGCCCATCCCCAAATCCATTTGACCTCACAGCTGGGAAATGCACACTGGTTCTCAACCACAGAGTTGTCTTTCTCTTTTCTGCTTTTTTCTATCATGAGGTAATGCTTTCCTGCTAACTGATTATTTGGCTCCTGCGTTTGACATTGTGGAGGACCCTGGGACTCCCTGCGAGATGAGCTGCAGTGTCTTCTGGGTCTTTTTCTCACCTTTAAGGCAGCCACACTATTTGGGAGCCTAGTTGCAGTGAAGCTGTGTGTGACGTTGTCACTGATGTCTCCTGGCAGGTTACGCAGGGCAGCAGTGTGAAGAGGACGTGGATGAGTGTGCAGCAGACCCCTGCCACAACGGAGGCGTATGCTTTGAGCGCTCCAACCCAGCCTATTACGGGACACGACCTGACTTCCCCAGTAATTTCAGCTACAGCCAGGCAGCTGGTTTCCTCTGCTGGTGCCAGCCAGGCTTTGCAGGTGAGCTGGGCCGCAGATGTTCTTCCTTCCAGCACCTGATAGGTGGAGCAGTGTTATCTGTGCAACAAAAATCACTTACCGACTGGTATTTCAGAGGAGGCGGCAGCCTGGCGCATCCAGAAGATGCCTGAATACGTTGGAGAGAGCTCTCTGAATGTCATTCCCTGGCCTGCCAGCCTCTCTCAGCCCTGCACAACAGCCTGTGCACTTTCTGAGTGCTTTGATGAACGCCCTCTGGCTATGCAGATGCCAAGGTGGTTTCTCTTTGTCAGTCTCTCATGCATATGGCAGAATTCCTCCCTGCAGGATCCCTGTGAAACTCCTCATCAGAGGAAACTAATTCCCTGGAGTCCCAGATAACTATTCTAGGTGTTTCCTTGATGAGATTACTCTCATGACAGCAACTGTACAGTCAGAGTGGGTAGAAGAGAGGGTTCTTGATGTTTTGCACTTGGAGCTAGAAGATTTGTGGATGTTCAAGTGAAATATCAACTTTTCCCTGGTTTATAGATATGTATAAAATCCTGGATTTAACAGCTGGGGAAGTTCCCTGGTAGAGTGGCTAAGCAATATTTGTTCATTCTTTTTTAAGAGAAAAATGACCGTTTGGCCCACTATTGCACCAATGGGAATGGCTCAAGATCTGATCCTGCTGCTGCCCCCTTTCATGACACTGGAAAATCATTTGACCTTTCTGTACTTCATCTTCCCTAATTGTTTTGGTGACAGTATATTTGCTGGAGTGTCTGGAGAGACATGCTGCAGCGCAAGAAATTCTTACGCATTTTTAAATGACAGAAAAGAAGCACAAAAGGTTATGAATGCGGTTGACATTTGAATTCTTTCCTTCACTGATGTGTCTGGGCACTTACGATGCCTATTTGTGTTTTCACTTTGAAGGGGAGACCTGCTTTACGAACATCGATGAGTGCGAGTCCCGGCCGTGTCAGAATGGAGGGCTCTGTGAGGACCTTGTCAATGGCTTCCTCTGCCGTTGCCCACCGGGCTACTCAGGTAACGCTGAGGGGGTGGCGGGGGTCTGCAGTGCTGCGCCGCTGCCTGGCTGCGGGACGGGATCCAGCGCTGGGAGCCCGGGCAGCCGGGCAGGACTGAGGGGGAGTGTGGTGGTGGCGCAGCGGGATGCGTCCTTCAGGGCTCAAACGCTGTGGGCAGGCTACATGGTTTTGGTCAGGTATGTTGATAGGCTTTGAACTAGGTTTTATCCAGGGGATCTGTATCCTGGGGTGAAAGTTCACTGAGAGAACTCTGGGTTTTTTTTTTTTTATACATGTACTATGAAGGTGAACAAAACAGCCTTTAAATACAAAAGGGGTGCTTAACATTCTAGTTGTCACAAGCTACTGACTAGCAGATTGGATCACCAGCACCTACGCCATCTGTGAAACATCTCTGTTCCCTAACATCCCTGGATGGTAAGAGCCAGCGGTTTTTGGCTGAAGGCAGTAATCTGCTGTGTTAGGAGGTCAAAAGGTCTTTGTGATGTGAGCAAATGAAGCCTTCTCTGTTTACAAGGGAATGGGGAGTCTGGCATCTTACACAAATGCCCTGCCTGACCCTAATGGGTCTCGGTTTTCTAGCTGAGAAACTGGGGGGTAGTGAATGCTGCTCCTCAGCTCTGCTGGGAGGGTACACTGCTGCCTGCCACTGAACCTCGTCTTCGGCTAAAATACTCCTCCTCAGTCTCCTGCATCTTTAAATTCCATGTGTGCTCTCTGTTTTGAGCCGTTTAACACGGCAAAGTAATTTATAAGAAAGGTGATGCCCAGCACAATCTTGTATCTCTGTATTTTTGAGGTGGATGTAACCTTTCCGCAGTGTTCCTAGGCTGCCATCTCGTGGGAAAAAGAAAAACTTGAAGCCAGAAGAAAACCTTGTCCTTTAACTTCTTGGAACAGCAGGTAGCAGCATTCCGGAGACTTCGGCCTTTATTGCAGGGGAAAGTGTTCTGTTGTCCTTCTCTGGTCATAGTGGTTGAGCTGTGTTGGGCTAAGTCTGACCAGCTCTTCCCTGGGAAGACCCGTTACACCGATACTTTCACTCCCAGAATCTCAAATCAACTCCTAGTTAACACCTTCTGTAACCAGGCCGAAGTCTTTGTGGGGTTTTCTGGCCTGTCTTGTTTGTTTTGGATTCCTAATTTCGGCTAAGTCGAGAAAAATTTTGCTTTTGTAGGTGAGGCCTTTGAAAATGGGCTTTTATCTAAGCTCCTTATTGCTGCTTTCTTGGGCAGTTACAATGCCGTACTCATGAACTGAAATCTTGTCCAAAGAGATGGCTTAAAGTTGATCCTACTTGTCAGAATTCCGCCTCACATACGTGCCCTGTTCCCTTTTCCTCCTTCAGTGCCCCAGCACCCTCACAGAGCTCAGAATTTCATTGTGCTTTGCCAAGCTGCAGATCTCTCTAATCCTTTCCAATTCTTGGCATGCTCACGGGCAGAAAAGCTGACAGAAAGGCAGGATGATGGGCAGAGGAGTGCTGGAGTTCATTCTGCTGCATCGAATTTGGGTTCGTTAGTACTTGAAGGGGCTTAGGAGTAGGTTGCTCTTCTGGATATTGTTTTTGGTGAAGGACTTTGTCTCAGCTGAGGTAGTTCTGACACATTAACACAGTGAAAGGCTTGGAGCAGGCTGTGAGATCAGTGAGTGCGTGTGGAGGAGTGAAGCTGACAGGGAAATAATAGCAATTAATCTCCCCTCCTTTGTCAATTAATCCCAGTACAGTCATGCTGGGTAAACAGCTTATTACTTCACATTAGGATCACAGAACAACTTTGTGAAGCTTCCCATAACGTTTCTCTTCAAAACACATTTCTGTGGCAGCTCAGATCTGCCATGAACTTGGGTTTAAGCTGCCTCCGCTGATTAAAGTGAACTTGCTACTCTGATGAAGAACGCCTTCTTGGGGCGGTGGGGGGGGGGTTTCAGTCTGAGGAATTTGGGGAGGGTTGGGATAACAGTGTGAGTCAGGATAAATTCTGGCTTTGTAAGTTAACTGCCTCGGTGCTGTGTCAGGCTACAGCAGTGCAGGGAGATGAACCAGCTCTTTGGAACTGCAGTTGTTGCAAAAGCGTTGCCTCCTTCCCGAGAGAACTGCGTAATAGATCCTGAAGGGTCTGCTGGGTGCAGCAGTTGGGCTTTAGTGGAGGATGGAAGAAGTGTGGAACAAAAGGCTGCACGGGTACTGAGTGAAGGGAGGAGGAGAATGAGTCTTGCATGGTCTTGGAAATGATGTCAGCTGTGGTCAGGAGAAAAAGCATGTTAGGAAAAGTCTGTCGTTTAGGAAAAAACCCAACATAGTTCTTTATCCATAGGAACGGTTTCTGTCCATCATGCACGGACTAGGCAGTAGTTGAGGCCAGTGTGTGCCAAAGAGAGGTACCTCCCTTTGGAATGGGAAACGATTTTTAACCTGCAAGAATGTAATCACTTAAGTGGAATTTGGCTCATTCGTTCTTTAAAACCTTTTAAATGGCCTGAGCACTCACACTCCTGTTTCCC